TTTGTTCCATCCTCACTCCTCACAAAGAATCAGTCTGAACGACTCAGGTGTAGATTGACTTCAAGTGCTACCAAGTGCAGCGAGGCTGCCGTAGCTTTGCGCTTTCAGGAAGCGTAAGTTAGGTTACCGACCTTTCGTTCTATATTTAGAGCAAGTACGAGTTTTGCGGATCGCAATCCGCTTACTCCAAGAGTAATTATCGTCTTCACCGAAGGGTAATTTCTCTTTCGTTTAAAATCCAAAACTGATTTTTATCTGCGGTAAAGCCGCCTACTTTTAAATGTATAGATTCTTTTAGATATATATGGTAAGATCTAAATGCATGCATAACTACTGGCTACCCAGCCACGTACCGTATTCTTTTTTGGGTGCAGTCACACCATGCCATCTCGTGTAACACACACACCCCTGTTCCAGGGTACGTGTAACCCCGTTACGACGTGCGTCATTCATGTCTTCTTGTTCGAGTAGAACTGGATGCCAAGGAGAACTGTGTTCACTCCACGGAAGGAGTGAGCTTCTTACTGCCGTAGATGACGACGGGGTCCATAGTCTTGGAATCTGCCATATTGCAGCACAGACCAATAGTAATGCGCGCCTTGTCGTTCTTGGACCCGCGGATGTTGCTAGTTTCGAGAGACTGGCTGGGCAGCATGCGAAGTGAGAGGCTAAAATCATCGAAATTGAAGTCATCCTGCGGATCATATTCTTCGATAAGATCCTGTAGTTCGCGGCGCTTGAGGCCGACCGTGGCGAGATCCACGGACCCGAAGTCGCCTTGTGCTGTGCACGAACGAATGCTGTAGCGCCGCTTGAACTTCTGCATCTAGGAATACGAGACGTCTTGCGGATGGATAAGCTCACTCGCCTTCTCCTAAAATAATTGCCAAGAGGTGCGCTAGCTTGGTGCAGCTGCACAAACTCCAGCAAGAGCAGCTCCAGTCTGGGATTCGGGATTGACGCCGGCGTCGCGCGTTCAAATTTAGTAGGACAGGGGGTGACGCGGGTAATCGTCGAATAACCATGGTCTTGTCGAACTTAGATAGTATTTATGAAGCAAGTTCCTGGTGACGGAGATGAGGGTTTGCCTTCGCGAAGGTAACCAGCTCGTGCTTCTGGTTAAGGGTCAAGCTTGTTTATGCGAATGAAAATGACTTTGCATTTTTGATAAATGCTTTTGGAACCGCTATTCGGGACAAATATCCATCGTTTTTAGAGCCGTGTGTTCGTATATCGTCCAGCTGTTTTGTTTTACTTGGATTTTGAATGATGTATTCTTGCTATTGGTGTCTTGGTTCTCATGCAGATTATGTTCTTATATGTGGAGTCCTATTATTGTAAGCAGACTTCTTAAATGGAGGAACCCGTGGTCTGGTCAGTAAATAAGGACGATTCTTGTATGAGAGGAGCAAAACACTGATATGATGTCCTTGTCTAGGAAAAATTGGTATTACATTAATGGTTTTTCTAATGCACAGAGCAAACTTAAAGTGATAATTTATCTGGGGGCTCTCGATCCTGCTCCTGGTAGTGGAGCACAAACCAAATTTCCGTTCGTTTATCAACTTTGAATGTCAAAGCTTCCCCTGTGCAAAGTTCAAATGCAAACAACCTTGTCGCATAAGGCGTGAGGCTGGCTATCTTCCACGTGTCCCGCAGATTTCTTCGGAAAACCATCACCCTAATCCATACCGAGAACAACTCACGATAAATGGTGATAATAGTTGACCATAGCCTCTTAAACCTTCGCTATAAGTCTGAGGGGCAACAGTCGGACACTATAATAGTTTACGTGCTCCGTTAGACAAAGTGTTAATTTAGATTTGAAGCTATCCAATTATGATCATTTATTTAATATCTATCGTAACAACCTCTTTATAATGCTTCGTATCCGTTACGCCATCAAGACTCATGACACAACATAACAATCGCATTCGCTCATTTTTTTTACAAACTAAGAATGTGGCCATCACTTTTTCAAGCATAGTCTTGCTCACAACATACGATTCGACCAGAACTGAGTATTCAAGCATTCAGGATGGGTTAAATCACTATTATATTATCAAAGTTTTGACGGAAAATTTCTAGAAGAAACCAAAAAATTTCAACTAAAAAAATAAGCGAATTCAAAGAGAATAAACGAAACGTGAACTACAATTTCTAACATTGCTTTTCTGAGTGTTTTGTTTTTTTCTTCATGGCTCCACCTCATTTCATGGCACCTTGTTCTTTAATAATATGAGGTCTCGATTCTGGTTTCTATCGATACCCCATATGGACCTTGAGATATCGGAGGGAGTTATCAATAGTGTTCTTGAGCATGTCAGCACCATTTTGCTGAAGGCGGATCTCTCTTCAACAATCGTTTGATCTTAAGCGTCTGCGCCTGTTGAGGTGTGCGTTGGCAATACCTCAATACTGTCCGAAGTCGTCCTTGGATTGTGGTTGGCAGTCCCCGAAGCAATCTGTCAGTTTGCGGATAGACAGAGAGAAGCAGTTAGGAGAAGACGAATTCCTATGACCAGATTGGTATTTCAGTCGAGACGATAGTGGTTACAGGAATTATTACTTGGAAATGATCCAGATGTTGGACTAAGCTCCAAAACCATAACCATGAACTCAATCAGAACCAGCGTACCTGTCAGATATACATACAGTATTTGCGAGTTGATTTTATGCCAGTGCTGATTTGTTGGAAGCCAAATCAATTTCATTCAGATTTATCATTCATAATTGTAGTTCCAATCGAATCTGGTCTCTGAGTGATGAATTGTGACATCTGGCTACGAAACCCACAGTGAGCCATAAACACTGTGTGATCAGATTGACTCTTTGCAGTTGTTGAATCTCAATCGAGAAAGTGAAGCCACGAGACGATGACCACTAGGCTAATCTGAACTCATTTTCAACCAACTAAAGCACCCGCTTAATTATTCACTAACTATCCACTGTACAATGAGATATGGATTACTATCGTGAGATTTTCGTCACGGATATCAAATCCACTGCATGTTTAGAGGCTTCTAAATGTGTGGGTTTTATTGTAACAAGTATAGTGCAAATTATGCGGAAATGGCATGGTCATTGTCTAATCTCCTTAGAAAGGATATAGATGTGGTTCTTACTGATGAATATAATTTCTGTACTAACGTGTACATAAGTTGCCGCTTGCCGATCACAGCCATTCACGTTGAGTGAAATGGTTCCAGCACTAAATATGCGACAAACTGATTTATCAACTGATAATTAGCTTTTTGAGCGATCTATTTGCTACCAAAACTTCAAGATAGCTGTTTTCATAAAAAGACATACTGATCTCTTCAGACAGTTTTATACTCTTATGTAGCCAGCATTTCTGATACAAAAAACTAATTCTATTACAATTCTCGACAGAATGTTGAGTTGTGCGCAGTAGAGCGCAAAATGTAAAGTGAAAATATTTTAGGTCCTTAGTTCGCAAACTGCTTGCTCTTTCTAAGCCACTCATTTTATGAACTAGGCTCATTATACTAGATCCTGATTTATCTTAGCCTATCAGCGACTGCCATTGC